GTTCGATCCTCAGCACCACCATAAAAATAAACAAAATAAAGGTATACTGTTCATCTACAACTACAAAAAATATTTAAATAATAATAATAATAATAATAAGGCCTAGGGCAGGGGCTCAGCGGTAGCGCACTTGTCTGGCACTTGTGAGGCACTGGGTTCGATTCTCAGCACCACGTATAAATAAATAAAGGTCTATCAACAATTAAAAAAAATAATAATTAAAAGAGGGAGAAAAAAAAAAGGTTGGGGATGTGGCTCAGTGGCAAAGTGCCCCTGGATTCAATCCCCAGTGCAAAAAAATTTAAAAATAAAAATAAAGATATTAGATATATGTGATATAAATCAAAGAATAAATGGTTCACAAAGACTTGGGACTTAGTAAATCAGATTTAATGTATAAAAGGCATTGAATAAATATCTTTGCAGGGTGCAGTGGCACTCACCTATAATCCCAGTTATGGGGAGTCTGAAGCAGGAGGATTGCAAGTTGCTCAGCAACTAAGCAAGACCCTGTCTCAAAAAAAAAAAAAAAAAAAACGGGCTGGGAATGTGGCTTAGTGAGAGCCCGTTTCAACCCCTAGTACAAAACAAAACAAACAAAAAAACAGCATTGAATACATTAATTACACATAGTCCAAATAAGTTTCTGTGGGTTTTATGTGATTTTGGATAATTTGTTTTTCATGTAGGYGAAATTATCATAATTGTTTTTATGATACTTTACAATGCCACTATTAATATATGGAAAATTTTTAAAAATACATTTTTAGTTGTAGATGGACACAATACCTTTGATTTATTTATGTATGTATGTATGTATGTAGTGCTGAGAATCGAACCCAGTGCCTCACACAGGCGGGGCAAGCACTCTACCAAGGAGCCACAATTCCAACTCCGTATACGGACAATTATTGTATACCAGTTTTTTTAACTAATGAGACTTCCCCCCAGAAGAGTGCCATCTCTTTCAATTTCTCTTTCTTTKTCACTTGGGTTCTGCATGGAATTTTCCTCTCTGCTTCATCCTGATGGTGTAACACACGATTACGTGTTCCTTGTCTTGTTTTCCTCTGGGAGGTGTGGGTACTTCTATTTCCTTCTCCTTTTTCATCTTTTCTTTCATTATGGCCTCTTCAGAGTCCCTCTGATCTCTATGTTAATAGGAAAGCACGGAAAGACTGAAAGGAAGACAAAGAAGAAAAAAATCCTCTAAGCAGCTGGGAGCCCTTAGGTCTAACCATCTCTATGGAAACAGTTCCTCAGAGATCAATCTAGAAACAATTCTATAGGGATCAGACAGAAGCAGTAAGCCAGTCTCCCCAAGCCTTATTTATAGGATTCGACTTGCAAATGGAATTAGTTGATAGACATTTATTTTTCTTTGAGAAAAACAGTAAAACAAGAAGCCCAATAAGATTTACATTTATCCCTATTTAAGGTATTTTTAGCTAAAAACTTCCTACTTGCTATAATAATAATAAAAAAAATACAAAAAAGAATATATGAACCAACTCCAAGCCCTTCCTAATCTTAACATTGGCAGAGTGCCCAATACAAAGAAAATATGGCCAAAATACCCCAAAGGAAACATTACTATTTGGTGGTGAAAAGTCATTCATGTCATTAGAATAATTTTAGGACTGTCACCCATGACCATACAAGGTATGTGGAAAGAATGCCAAATTCATTCAGGCAGTAAATAGATTATTTGAATTCAGGCAAGGAGTGAAAGGGTTTACAGAATTCCACCTACCAAGTCAGGTTGAAAGATGGAAAGAATAAAGTAGCAATGTAACTTGAACTCAAGGGAAGAACTCCATCTTTAGTGTGGGAGCTAGACAGCAATTATTTTTTAAAAGGGAGAACATACTCCAGGCCTGGTCTTCAATCTATAGTTCATAAAAACAAAACAAAACAAAACAAAACAAAACAAAACAAAACAAAAACAGGTGGGGGATCCCAGTACAGTAAAAAATAAAAATAAAAAAGAAGGGTACTGCAAAGTGTCAGTGATAACCAGGACAACCAAGTTTTAGGCCTGTTCAAAAGTCTCCAACAGATAACCTTGGAACTATTTCAGGTTTCCTGAGGTAAAGCCATTGTTCCTTAGGAAAAGTAACTTCAATTTGCCTAAAATTAGGTCTGTTCCATTAATGCACAGATGAGTTATTTGTAACCACCAATAATTTCGTTAGACCCTGGCCCTTGGAGTAAAAACTTTTTGGTTCCAATCTTAGCTTCGTCATTCAGCAGTTTTCACTTCTCTGGAACTAAGCACCTCATTGGTAGAATGACAATAATAATTTTCAGGGCTATAAAGACGATGAATTGCATATTACAACATCTTCGTTTTTTTTTTTTTTTTTTAATCTTTTTTAAAGAATGATAACACTATTCCTTCCCCTCTAAGGAATATTTGAGAAGGTGGACTAAAGAATGGGTGTAGGGGACTGGCATGGATGGAGCTCACCTGTAATCCCAGGCTGAAGCAGGAGGATCACGAATTCAAAGCCAGCCTCAGATTTACCGGCCCTAAACAATTCAGCAAGACCTTTTCTCTAAATAGAATTAAAAATAACAATTATAATGGTGGTGGTGGGGCTAAAAATATACAGTAAAAAGTATTTATTAGCTGTTAAGAACAATCTTAAAAAAAAAATAGTGGTGCGGATGTGGCTCAGTGGTTAAGTGCCCGTGGGTTAAAAAAAAAAAAAGAAGAAGAATGGCAGTAGGGCACCATGACCTGGCCGATTCCTAATGCCCTGCACTAGTCGGGTTTTGTTTGTTTGTTTGTTTGGTACCTAAGATTGAATTCAAGGGAACTGAGCTACATCCCAGCCCTATTTTATATTTTATTTAGAGACAGGGTCTCAATGAGTTGCTTAGTGCCTCGCTTTTGAGGTAGCTGGCTTTGAACTCGCGATCCTCCTAACAGCCCGCCAAGCTGCTGGGATTCAGGCCTGCGCTACGCATGAAATAGATGATAATAAACCATAAAATAGAAGTTTCCATTACTTCAAGGTAACTGGCTTCCTGTCTCCTTATTACACACTAAAGTTCTCATAGGGGGGAAAAATCGTTCATCTGTCTACACTCCGAACACCCCTACTATCCCTAAATGACTTCCCCAAGTCTGTAACACAAGATCCAAAATCTCTTGGCTGGACTTTCAAGGTTAGTTACATGCATATACTTATTTGCTTTCATCTCTTTACCGGAGTGCCTTTCACCTTTCCCATAGAATTTCACTTTTGTTTTGAAACTTTAAAAAATAAAAGGCCATAATGTGTCATTGAGAACGTTGATGGCATGACAGCACAGTAAAAAGTATTTATTAGCTGTTAAGAACAATCTTCAAGAATGGAAAGCTCCATTTAGAAAACAATCCTATAGCTCCTAAAATCAAACGGAGATCAGTAGAGGAATGATATCAAGAAGTGGGAGGTAGGRAGGGAGGGGGTAAATGTTGTTACATCGCGTGCAAGTACGAATGTGTAATAACAAATGCATCAATATGTACAACTATAATGCACTGATTTAAAAAAAAATGTGTGTGGGGGGGTCCAAGTCCACAGCCACGAGCCGCTGATTGGTCAATTAGGTTTTAATGGAGAGAAAAGGGAAAATAGTAAATAGGAAATCAATCAGAACCTACGCGGTTCTGATTAATGTGGGCCTGTGCTGCACACCCGAATAAGGCCCGCTAGGGGGCGGCTGGCACCTCCCGGGTGGTGGTGGTTAGGGGAAAAGAGAGCCGAAATCAGGCTTGGTATACACATTGGCAGCCGCAACACTATTTTCTTTTTTTTTTTTTTCCTTTTAACCGCAGAATGCAAACATGGTGGATAAGGAAAGTGCTCCCAGTGTTTGGTGGATGAACCACGTGGCGCCCTTTTCTCGCTGGGTAAAGGCGGGGCCTTTACGGGAACAAATCCCCGGTGGAGCCTCGGGAGCAAGGGAGAACTTCTCCAATCCGCGTCACCACGGTTCTTTCAAGGCTAATTGCAAGGGCTGCTTCTGCAACCTCCCATCCTATCGAAGAGCAAAAAGGTGGCTTCTAAGAATTTGATGGTTGTAGGGTAAACAAGAAAGGCGCAGAATACCGCCAGCCTTTCACTAACTGGACCAATCTCGGCTTTTCTCTCTCCCGGCCTCAGCTGATCAGCCCATCAGTACGCAAGCGCATTTCCCCGCGCTAAGGCGGAACCGCCTGGTCTCGCGAGAGCAAGGCGGCCCGTCTTCGTAGCCCTCGCTCCACCCCCTCCTCCTCGCTCGCTCTCTCCCATCCCCCCCAGCCAGTTGCTGTGCTGCGCAACTTCCTTAGCGGTTGCAGCCGCCGAAGACGGTTGGAAAAACCGTTGTTAGCAGCGCGACGAAAGACGAACGACTTCTCCCTCCTCACGACCGAATCCCGCGTGCACAGGAGTCGGCGTTACTATCGCTCGACAGGGTATCTGAAGTAAAAGGGGGTAGGTTGGGCTGGTGGTGTCGAGAGCGGAGTCGGGAGAAGGACGAAAGAGACCGGGAGGGGGTGGGGTGGGGAAGTGTGGAGGTCGCCGCTCCGGGGCGGCCCCGCTGCGCTTCCCGGGCGATCTCCCACTTCAAGGAGGGCGGCCTGCCGAGGGGAGGACTTGTTCAAGTGGAATTCAGTGGACGACGCCGAGACCCGAAGTGGGGGCTTTCAGCATTTCCCCCCATTCTCTGCTGGCTTGGCCTCCGCCATTTTGGGTACGGTGGCGCGGACACCTAGGCTTCCCGCCCTTCCCCGCTTTTTCTACTTTTTGTTCCCCATCTTCGGAAAACTGATTTAGAAGGCGGGGGTGTGGGGGTGGCCTAGCTCCCTGGAAGGGATGAGGGGGGGCAGTGAAGCGAGCAGGGTAAGGCCGGGCAGTTGGGTGCGGGGAGGATCGGGCTGCCGGGCGCGCTCCCGATGGAAATGGCGCCGGATGGGCCTGGCCTCCCACCGCGGCCTCCTTCCTCTGCAGTCTCGGCAGGGTTACCTGGGCTGGCGGGACTGCGAGTGACTTCTGACGCAGATTCCCAAGATGAGAGAGGCTGGAGCTGGGGGAGGAAAGCCAATGGCGACGAAGGCGCTCAACTCCCAAATCCAGGACAAAGGAGGCGGACGGCCTCCTTTGTAATTCCGCCGCCCGGTGGCGAAGGTTTTTAAGCCAGGCTTGGCTGCCGGACGGGAGGGGGAAGTACTCTCCCTAGTTCTCCGGTCTCTAGGGCCGCTAGATAACGAAAGTCTCCGGGGAGGAATAAAGGACGCTTAGCCGGCCCTTATATTCCAGGTTTGGAACTTCGAAAAGAGTACGTACTCATTTTCCAAAGGATTTTTTTTTCTCACGCTTAAACGTTTATAAAGACTTTGAGTAATTTTATAAGCAGAAAAGTGGGTGACTTATCAAATAGGACTGTGAAACGGGCATATATTTTAATAAGTCGTGTGGGCCCGGTGAACTACATGGTACCTCTTTTTAAATTCGTGGGTGGAGGTGGGTGGTTTAGCAATGGTTCTGTGTAGTTTGTCACGTTCGAGTTAGAATTTGTTTTTAAGAAGGGGTTCTACTTTTTGGGAAACAGCTGTTAAAACGCAATCAGTGATTGGCAAAAATGTATGTATGCTTCTGTAGAGAATTGACTCAATATTATTAAGTCTGCACGAGTTGTGATTTTTTTCTTAGCATTAAGGCTGTGGAAGTCAAATACTTCATAAAGTTTATTTTCTTTTGGTAGCTAAGCATATTTTTTCTTTAGTGCTAGAGTATACTGGTGTTTTGAACTAGGAAATAAGCCTATTAGACAAATGTAAGCTTAGTCACATGGTGGTGGAGTGGGGTGATTTTGTTTTGTTTTTATTTGATGGTTGGTTTTGGTCTTTAGAGGAGTGTCATTGAAGACAGTACAGAAGAGAAAGGCAAGGCCTGAGAATGAGTTTCCAGTAATACATATAAAACTATATAAATGAGTCTGTTAACTATACTTTCCAACTTTAAAAACAAAAACCTGCCTGTTGTTGATGTTCTTTGATGCTTTCTGAAGATCATCAAAGAAAGTTTACAGAAATCTTACTTTGAAACGGATTTTTAATGGACTGAAAAACAGCTCAGACTTTCATGTAATGTGTATGACATAACCAACAGCTTTCCTTATTGAGTTAGACTAGACTTTTTTCTGCCCTCTTTTTCATCTGCATCATAATCTGGAAATCCATCTAATTGCCTTTGCTAAGTAACAGTGTTATCTTTTGATGAAATTGTTTTGATAATTGACTGATGCATCAAATCCTTACATATACTTCAGAAGACAGTGTGCCTCCATGTTGAGATTTTTATATTTCAGTTGTTTGATTATGCTTCTTAACACCTTTGGGATATAATTCACATTCCACCAGCTGCCCATTTGAAGTGTATTTTCACTGGGTTTTAGTATATAAGCAGTTGTAAGACTACCACTGTAATCTAATTTTAGAATATTCTATCATTCCAAAAAAGACACATATTTATTATTATTAGCATTTATTCCGTATACTAGACACCTGCCCTCCTTTCAAGACTCAGGACAACCACAAATCTTATGTAGTAGATTTTTATATTCTGGACGGTCATGTAAGTGGAATACAAAATATGGTTATTAGTGACTTTAGGTTAGGRAATTTTAAAGTATTTGTATAAAACCAAATAAAGTTAACCTCATTTCAACTGGCATTTTAAATTGGTGCTAACACTTGGGTGTTTTGTTTTTTCTTTTTTGAGATAAAATCTCTCTACATTGCCCAGAACTCCTGGGCTCAAGCCATCCTCCTGCCTCAGCCTCCCAAGTRGCTGGGTCTATTCACACCCTACTATGCCTGGCTAACATTTGGAATTCATAAAGTAGAGAAATGATTAGCCATGGCCTTACAAAGAAAGATTAGGTGGATTATCTGAATCATTAATAAACTGTTTAGTTTTTGACAGCATTATTAAGATATTTATTCAGAGCCCTTTGTATGCCTTTAGAATTTTTTCTTGTTTGTAAGTAGAATTCTAGACTTGAGTTGTGAAGGGGTACTGGAACAAGGCTCTGAAGGCATATTAGAGTGAGGCTGTCTTTGTATATACTCTTTTATACTCACATGGAAAGTTACTCTGTAAAGTAGTTAATGTTCCAAATCTGGTAAATTTTTGCCTCAATTAAAAATTATTAAAATTTTTAATATTTTTAATAAGTACTTCATCTCTTGGTTTCATATGAATCATCTTGGAAAATTCTGATCCAAAAATAAAAATTAGTTTGTTTGATAGTATTTTCTCGTGAAATACTAAGTGAATCTCCACACTTCTCTGTTTCTGAAATACAAATCTTTTGTGATGAATGTTTTTACATTGAAAAGAAAGTGCTGAGAGCTGAAAAAAACACTGTACTAAGATCTTTCCATGCTAAATTAGATTGACTGGACAAAGTTCTTAAAATTTTTCATGAGGAAGTACATGATATTAGATCCTTTCCACTTTTCCCCCATCTTGGATCTTAAACTTTTATTTCTTAGGTTGGTTCTGCTTATTATTTGGTTCTGGGGATTGAACTCGGGGCCCTGTGCATGCTAGACAAGTGTTCTATCACTGCCTCACCCCCACCCCACCCCACACACCTCAGGTTGGTGCTTTTAAGAAAATCATGGAGATCTTCACATCTAACTCCCCACCCCCTCTAAACATATAGGGTTATTCGGGGACAGCATTAAACTTTATAAAGCCTTTGTTAACCTTGGGAAAGACTTAACAGTTTTTTTTTTTTTCTTTTCAAGATTCAGAATAGTTTTCTGTCCTTTGAGGTTTTGTTTGTGGTCTGTCTAGTTGGTATACTGAGGTCTTAAAATCCACCAATCATTGCCACCAGTGAATGCTTGCCAAGAAATAGACCAAGCATTTTACATGATTCTTGTAACAGTTGTAGGTACTGATGCTGTATTTCACGGTTGAATGGGCTCAGAAATTTAAGTAGTTTAACCAATGTCCAAATCCAGACCCAGGATTTATTCTTTTATAAATTCATTTTGGTTATTTATGTACTTAAGAATTAGTTGTAAGGTCAGTTTTTAAAATGTGTGGTATCTTTATTTTGGTTCTCTCTAGAGTGGCACTGGGCCTTTAGCCTAAACAAAATGGGCTGGGGGAATAGTTCAGTGGGGCTCTGGAGGTTCGATCCCATCATTTAAGAAGAAAAGTGACAAAGATTTATATGTAGAGATTAATAACCACTTTTAAGGATTACTGCATTCACTTTTTTTGTTGAGCTAATGGGGATTGAATCTTGGGACAGTGGCCCAGTGATCTGTATCCCCAATCGCCCTGTCCCACCATTGGCAGGGTCTTGTTCAGTTGCCTAAGCTGGCCTAGAACTTGCCTTCCTCCCTCCCAAGTGGCTACGTTGACTTTTTTTATTTAACGCATTAATATTAGGAAAAAGAAATTTATCCCTTTGTAGATGTATTAATAGTTATACTGATAATTAAACCATATGAGATTAAACATTAGTGAATGCTGTTGGTGTAAAATACAATCTTCAAGCATAAAGGAATCAAGTGAACAAATTGTTTTGTTTACAGGGGAGGAGGTGGTGAGGGAAAGGTTTGAAATATTCAGGTGAGTAGGATTCCTACAGCTGCCTAGTGAAATTTGTAAGGTCTGGTAAGTTTCTGCAGCTGGAGGACTTCTGCATTAACCTTGAAAATGTTCTGGAATTTTTAAAGGAAGGTTGTTTGCCTCTGGGAAGGGAACTGGGTACTGGTTCATTTTGGAGGGGTAGAGGGATTTCTCACTGTGCTTTTTTCTATACTTCCTTAATGTGAATATATTTAAAAATTCATGTTTAAGTCTGAATTGATTATAAATTTAAGGCAGTGAGTATATTGGTTATATGCTATCTTTAGTGACTTCCCACATAGGTGGCTTCAAAAACACGGGTACTGTTTAGAGGCATTTGTTTTGAATAGCCTCTTACATCAGGTTTAAAACTCAGTCTAATTGTTACTTAAATATTCTTTTAAACTTATCCCCTTAAACAGTTTGATGTGTTCAAAATTAGTAGTTAATCTAAAAAGCTTGAGCTAAAGTTTTTTCCAGCATGAAGTGTTTATTGCATTTTTTTATTTGGACCTCACTATGAATGGATAGTAATACTATATACAATATCCAAGTTTTAAAGAAATTTTCTTCCAGTGAATAGTAAAATTTGAAAAGTGAAAAYGTGAGAGAGAGAAAAATGGCTAGAGTTGGCATTAAGATAACACAATCAAAAGTTTTGAAGATTCTGGTAGTAGAATTATGCAGGGTGTTTTTTATTTTTGCTTCTTATTTAAGCAGTGTGTGATAATTGGTTGATTCTAAAAAGTTCAGAACTTTTTGGTTGGAGGGGTCAGATTTCATTGCCTAAACCCTACCCCACAATAAAAAGTGATGTTACATTTCCTGTTGTGATACCTCTGAGAGGTGTTTCTTCAGTACCTCTTGACAAGAGTATATTTTGATTTACTGCTTTATGTGCTTGTTTATTTTTTATAGCATTTAAATCAAACGGTATTGAGATGGATTGGGTTATGAAACATAATGGTCCAAATGACGCTAGTGATGGGACAGTACGACTACGTGGACTGCCATTTGGTTGCAGCAAAGAGGAAATAGTTCAGTTCTTTCAAGGTACCTCTAGTATTAGTCAAAGTTTAGTAGTATTTTAATTTTATATTTTTATTATGTTATTCAGTTTTTAATTTGTAAAACATTTGATTTTGGAACGTTATTTAAAGTTTGTGATGATTATGGTATATCATAAAATATGAAATGTGCTCCAGTTAATAGTCAATACAGAATGTATAGAATATGTAAAAACTAATTGCTGTGCAGTGCAGTTAATTGAGAATAATTTTGTGTCGTGAAAGAACCATGAATTAGCATATGGAGCATAAATTTTGTACCTTTTTCATGTAATATAGGTGGGGTTTTAGAGTATATAATTTAAAAAGACAGTGGTCACAAAATTTTATTTATTCCAATATTTGAAAAAATATTCCATTTGTATTATGGGGTGATGGGAAACTAAGCTTTTTTGTTTTGTTTTGTTTTGTTTAGTCTTGTTTTAAATATTTGATTCAGATGGGAATGTTTCAGCCTTTAACACTGTTCCCCTTGATGGGGTTATTTGTCCTTGGGTTAAAGGGTTGGAAATCGTGCCAAATGGGATAACATTGACGATGGACTACCAGGGGAGAAGCACAGGGGAGGCCTTCGTGCAGTTTGCTTCAAAG